CTGAGGATCCCCATGCTGTTCATGAGGTGCAGGGTAGACACTTCTTGTTGGACGGAAGGCCTGACGGCATCTGTGTGTGTGTGTGTGTGTGTGTGATGAAGGAGGGAGGAGAGGTGCCGGCGGTAGACTTGCGCCCTTTCTGTGTGAGTTGTCTCACCCTCACCCTCACCCTGGGCGGGCCCCCGCCCGCGGATGATGGATGGAACCACTTGCGGACAGACGGATTTCCTCGGAGGTCATCCGCCTGGCCCTTTTTAAATCCTGTAGGGCTCCCGAAAGCCAATGTGTGCGCGTGTGTCTGCGTGTGTGTCTGTCTGGGTGTGTGTGCGAGTGAGTTCTCCTTATCGAGGAGCTAGGGCAGCAAGACCACCTCCTCCCCTGGCGCTGCTGTTGGGAAAGACCCCGCCCCGGCGGGAAACCGACCAACCGTCTAGAAGTAGTCAAACCGTCACCCCGACCAAACCGAAATGAAATGCTTCGCGGGATGGTGGTGGTGGTGGTGCGGGAGGGCTACAAGGGAGGGCTTTCGCCTCCAGGTTGCCGATGGCGGTCGTGTTGGGCGGCGGATGGATTATTAGGGGAGCGAGAAGAAGGAGCAGCCTTCCAGTGTGGTGGTTGTTTGGGATCTCCCTATTTGTACACACACACGCGCGCACACACACAGAGGTGGTAGTGGTCGCATGCCGCGGCAGCAGCTACACAACTACCTATGCAGCCACAGCCACAGAAGAAAACAGCTAATATACAATACATATATATATTTATGTGTGTGTATGTAATATACAATGCGTGTATATATACACACGAATACATTCTGAAGTCGGATGGGGTGAATGCATTAGGGTGCCCCTCTCGCAGGGGAGAGCAGGGAACTGCCTCCAAGGGAAAGGGGGCCGCTGGTGAAGCTACATACACACTTTGTCGAGGTGAGAGATCGTGGAGGGAGGTAGTGTAGTGGCGGAGGGGCTGTTGGTGGAGCCCTCGGGGCCCCCTCGCCCTGGCCGCCTCAATCAGGCGATGACGGTGGACATTAATCGAAGGGTGCGACCAGAAGTTGAAGAACATGAAGATACGTACGTATGTATGTATGTATGTATGTTTCTCAGTTTTCAGGACGTCTCCAGTGGTTTCCCGCGGGCGTGTTATGAAGGTTAAAGGGGGGCCCTGGAGGACTACTACTACTACCTAAACAGCACAACGTTCAACTTTTCCCCTTCGTGTTCCCCAACTGCCTTTTTGACCCTTGTGCCCTTAACAGCAATAAATGAAAATCACCGAGCGTTGCCCCGCATCTACACGCAGTTGTTGTGGACCGTAGCCAGGTCAAAGCACAACCGTATACACGCCGACTCATACCCCTGCTGGAGACTCTCGCAACATGGTGTGCGGGAAAAGCCCGGGCATCGCCCGCGACCCGATTTATGTGTTGACGGATTGTCTCACGTACTCACCACTCTCTACTCACTCATATGCGCAACTCACGCCCCAAAGACTCAATTAAAAAGCGCGAGTTCGTACACAGGTGATAGATACATACATACATGACAATTCAGTGCAAAAGAGGGCCGCATCCTTTTACATCAGAAGGAATTATGCGTGCGACCGAATTCAAACCAACACCACAATTCAAATTCGAAATTTCAAACCCCGGGCATCCGACAGCCAAGGCCCCCGAATATCTCAAACACACACACAACACAGACCAGACAGACATCCCCAAAAAGCTGTGTCCGCTTCCTCGAGGTCGGAAAAAGGGCGGGGGCCCCCTGCATCCGTACAGGCCGGTAGCTAGGGCGGACCAAAACCCACAAAATACCTGGCGCCTTCCTTTGCTAACCTCTCCGTCCGCATCTCACGCCTTTCACCACCTTTGAAGGACAAAATCCGAATCCAACTAAGTCCGTCACAACAGCTGCAGGAACGGGTGCAACAGCAGCTCAGAAGCGCCCCGATTGCCTCGAACCATGTTTGCCGGAAACGTTTGGTGATTATGGATGGTGGTTGGCGGTTGTTGGTTGGCGCGGTTGGAAAGAATATCTAACGAACGCCTTTTAAGTTGTCACCTAAGTCCACACGCTCCGCTGCAGACTGTAACCCTCCTCCACTCCCCCCCCTCCAAAACACACACACACACACATATACATACACACATATTATGGAAGATATGGGTTTGGA